GTCGACAAAGGAGGGGCCGACGTCGACCTCGACTCAGGACGCCGAGCAGTTGGGCGTCGAGTAGCGGGGCGTCAACTTCGTGACGCCGACTTCGGGTGGCCGACGTGGGTGGTCGGCCGACAACTGCGCTGGCCGACTTAGTGCTGGTCGACGTGGAGCTGGTCGACCAGAAGGGACGTCGACCTGGAGGAGGTCAACCGAGGGGCGTGGTCGTCCTGGTGAGGTCGACATGGAGGTGGTCGTCGACTTGGGAGGTAGACGGGCACGTACGGGAGCTGCTGGTCGACGTGGTTGCCCGGTCGACCAGGTTACCTGGGTGACGAAGTGCTGCGGAGGAGTGCGACGGTCGCCCAGGCGAAGTTGGCGAGGCCGACCTCGGTGGTGGTATCCCGAGGTCGTCGTGGCGGATCAGAGGCAGTCGTCAGCTCGAGGTTGACGTGGTGTGTGCGCTGTGCAGGTGACGAGACTCTGCACGCCAATCATCTGCGCGCACATGCGAAGCGGGTGCACTGCTGTCCTGCGTGAGCAATGCTGGCACGCCGTCAACCTGCGACGTTAGCACGCCGTCGACCTTGCCTTGCTGGAGTGCGGTCGACCAAGTCGTGCTGGAACGCGATCGACCAAGCTGCGCTGGCAGTTGGCCGACCTGAATGCTAGCTCTGATGTAGTCTTGCATTGCCAACTTCATTGTATCATTGATGTCATGTTTTCCTAGTGAAACTCTTGCCAATTCTCCCCGTGAACTAGCAAGAAGCGTAAACACAAGGAAATGACTAAGTGAACGAACGCAGAGATCACACGAGCACACGTGCCTAGCCCGTAGTCTAGCTGATGTTGCAGCAGTTATCTCCGCACTGTACCATGCAGCCGAAGAATCGTAACATTTTTGTGCTGCCCAATTTTCCTGTCCACAGCAGATGCGGTGATGCGTTGTTCGGAAGCGATGATGACGAAAGCAAGTTGTGCAGCATCACGCCGTGGTCCATTGCCTCGGGCCACTGGTGGTTGGGTAGCCGCATGCCACGTAGCAGCTTGCGCATGGTGTTCTGAAGGGTCTTGTTCATTCTTTCTGCTACACCCTGCTGTTGATGGGCGTAAGGAAGGGAGATGAGCCTCTTGATTCCCTTCTCTGCGAGGTAGTCCTTGAAGCGTTGTGAGGTGTATTCTCCGCCTCCATCTGACAGAAAACTCTTTAGGTTTACTCCGGACTCTCGTTCTGCTGCTGGAAGCCAGGCGACGAAGGCTTCGAAAGCCATGTTGCGACTCGGAAGGTTCAGGTGCCAAACGTATCAGGTGGCAGTGTCGATGAAGGTGATGGTGTAGTTGTAGGCTCCTTGTCCTGGTACGCGATTGTACAGGATGTCGCTGTACACCTTTTCAAGCGGTGCGTATGCTGGTGCACTTGGGTTGTGGTGAGGGACAAACGGCTGATGCGGTAAGTCGGCTTCAGGACATGTGAAGCACGTTCCTTTTACTCGTTGGAGTTCTCTCCCGTCATGTAGTAGGAGCGAATCTTTGTCGAGCACCCCTGCTCTTATCATGTTGTTTAACGTTGTGTTGCTTGGGTGTCCCATCCGTGCATGCCAGATTTCTTCGCTGGCGCGGTGTCCGGGTGAGCATCGGTACATGTCGGAGTTGGAGTAGAAGCTGGCGGTGAAGTTGGCGCTTGAATGAACTTCTCGTGGTGCCGGGTTTAGCTGTTGCGCGGGTGTCGGTGGTGTGTCATTGACGAAGATCAGTGCCGTTGCTGGACTAGCGATTGGTGTTGATGTTGCCACTGCTGTTACCGTTGTCTCTGCTGCTGCCGTTCTTGTCTCTGCTGCTGCCGATGTTGTCTCTACTGCTGCCGATGTTGTCTCTGCTGCTGCCGAATGTTGAATTGTCGCTAACGCTCTTGTTCTTTCTGCTTCAGGGATGGTTTCCGAGTACCAGAAGCCTCCAGGACTGAAGCCTGGGTCAAGATCCTGTGGATGTGTCCAAGAGGTGAAGTTCACGATGGCATCGCTGTCAGCGATGCCAAGGTCTGGGACGAAGTCGAGAACAAAGACGTTGTTTTTCAGCACTACCTTCCTGATATAGAGACCTCCCCTGCCGTTATACAGTTTGAACTCCTGTGTAGTGCTGTCTGCTTCGAGATGGATACCTTTCGCCATTAGCTGACTGACGCTTAGTAAGTTGTAGCCAAGTCCCTCCGCAATTAAACCTTTGACATTTGTAGAATGACATTTTTCTCTCGCAACTGAAGTTGTACAATTCCTTGTCGTTGTGTGCGCAAGTTCTGGTTGTTGGCGACGGTGATGACGACTTCGCGGTGAAGTTGCTGTTCTCGTTGAACGAAACAACCCGAAGAGCACATATGTTGTCCGCAGCAACTCTCCAAGAACCAGGTATCTTTCCTGGACGGCTCACTCTGGGCGATAGCTGCGTACGTTGGGTTCCGCTCCAGTGTCTCGCAGCGCGGCGTGCTTTCGTCAAGAAGTTCTTCGGGTGAGTATGTTGGTGGTGATTCGGTGATGCAAGAGTCGGAGAGTCTTGCCATACAGCTGACGATATTTCTTGCTCCTTGTGCAGGTTGTCCCGTTGATGTTGTTTGAACTTGAGCGGTGGGGTTCGCTTGTGTTGAAGCGACTTGGCTGCTTGAAGGTCGAAGCTGTCGCTGTGGCGGTGTTGACTGTTGTCGATTCGGGCAGTGTGTGCGCGGATGTCCTGACGTCTTGCAGAGATGGCAGAACGGAGGTACAGGCTTTGGTTGATGTCGGCTGTTGTTGTTGTTGTAGTGTCGCTGAGTGTGGAACGCAAATTCGGGAACTGACGTTTTCTTCTTGTGCCGCTCCTCTTGCAGGTCCATGTCTTGCTGCTCGGCGTGAATTTCGGCGCAGAGTGCTGCTTCGGAAATCTTCCCGTGATGGCACGAGTGGAGAACGGCACGAGTGGAGCGCCAATGAGGACCAAGTCCAGTGATGACGACTGTGACGAAGGCTTTTTCGGAGATTGACCCTCCGCATCGAATGAGTTTGTCGCGTAGTTCGCGGCAGCGGCTGATATACGCCATTCCCTTTTCGCCTGGTTTCATCTCGACTGTTGTCAGTTGCGCCATCAACCGACTCAGATTTGCGCTGTCTGTTGCTTGATACAAGCTCTTCAAGTGGCTCTATGCGAGTTCGGCGGAGTTGCCGTATCCCTGGTAAGACCGTTTATTCTGCTGCTGATTCGGAGTGATGTTCCTCAGTAGAATCGTGTACGCCATCATTGACTGATACGTGTACTGCTGTTTGTCATACTGTGTGCCGTGTGTTGGGTATGGCAGGGATCCGTCGAAGAAGCCAAGAATCTGCGCGCCTTTCATCATTAATTCGAACTCGAATGACCAGGTGAAGAAGTCCTTGCCGTCGAAGGGCCTTGACGTCTGCAGTTTTAAGACGTGCGCGAACTGCGACTGAACTTGAAGTGCGTCCAGTGTCTTCTCTTGTCCAAGTGCAGGCTGTGGTTGTGGCATAAAGCTGACTGAGCCGCGCTGGGGCTCGTACGGAGCAAAGGTAGGTTGCTGCTGTTGATTTCCACGTGCATAGGATGAACGATCAAGGCTCATTGGAGTCACACTGTTGTTGTTGTTGTTGCTGTTGCTTGACTGCGCAGGTGCCGACTGTTGGTGTTGCTCGTAGAAGGACATGAAGGAGAAAAATTTCTCCATCATGTTCTGATCGAAGCTTGCAGGTTGATTCGCGGGAGTCTCGGTAGAAGTTACTCTTGGTCCTGTTGCCGTACCCTCCTCTGTCTGTAGGCCAGAGGCAGGAGGTGGAGTAGGAGTAGTACCCGGGGAGCCGTTAGAGGAGCTCATTTCCTTTTGTGTTGCCATGCCTTCTGACGTTGTAGATAAATTGATGGTAGTTGAGTTCCCCCTGTTGCTCTGATACCATGTTGGGCTGAGAAAGGCCCTTAGGATCTTTGCAGGGCTGAACTCTAGGTAGGATTTGTTGTAATTAGCGGAAGCGTTTATTGAAGTAGTTGAACCACCTTGCGCTGGTATGTGAGGGCAAAGTAGATTGATTAAAGTCAAGAGATACAAGATTATATAAGAGTACAAGGAATACGAAGAGATACGGTTGCAACTACTTTACTGTTGCTGTTGCGGTTCGATACAGTGACGACTCGGGCAACTGCTCTGTAGCGAGTCAGTTGTGTGTCATTGCTGTCGCGCTGTACTTGTCAGGTCAAAGGTCGCTGACCTTTGACTTTCGCGTAACCTCCAGTAACTGCTCAACCTCCAAGGGTTTACTCGACAGTGCTTCGATATGCTTCGCTTCGCTTCTGTCTTGGTGTTTCGACACGACAGAGGCGCATAGAATCAATTGTTTCCAACAGGGAAGATGGGTACAAGTACAAACCCCAGCAATGTGTTGTACCCCATATGTGCTACCCCACTACAGCCTACACCCTAACATTATATATATAGTTTGACACCGGTAGCCACTGTGCCAGCTGCTCCTGTTGCCCGTGTGTCTGCAGCTTCACTCGTCGCCTCCTATCTCCTCTCCTCTCATAGTCCCGCCTCCTCCTCCTCACTTGCCCTTTGTGAATGCCTCTAGCTTTGCTTGTACTTGTGAACCTGCTCTATGACTGCTTGCTGTGCTGATTATACCCCACTTTGACTATGGGGGTGTGTCAGAATGTGATATTTGTTTAGCCTGCAGTAGGGTACTAAATAGCGAGTATAGCCCAAATTAGGGTTTCCTATATGTACTCAACTGCCTGCTAGTGCAAGCCCCTTTTTTCTGTTCTAAACTTCTGCTCACTTTTCTCTGACACACCTCGCATCCCATCTCCGTACGTCAGCACAAAGCGACGGAGCCCCTAGCCTGGAAACCCCCTCGCATCTCTCATCTTCTGGAATCTCGATGTTTCTCTTTCGTGGCTCATTCATCTTGTCGTTCGTGTCTTTCAGCCTTGTTCACTGCCTCTCTTCGCAATAGTTAACACACTAAGGGCAGCCGCCTAATAGAATGGCGTTTCGCGGGTCGACTGCGCAGCTGTTCGTTGTTCTGCATCTCGTTCTCGCGTTCGCCTCGCTGAGTACAATCCAGGGTGTCGCGGTGAGTGAGTACGAATCAGGAAGCGCGACCACTCCATGAGCTGCATATCTAGGGCCGCCTTAGGGGCCGCGAATACCCGCAACCACAGACTCTATACATCCCCTTCCTGCTTTCGTACCCCTGCATCCTCCCCTCCCTCCTTCCCTCCCTCCCACCCTCCCTCCCTCCCTCCCTCCCGCCCTCCTTCTCCCTTCCTCTCACGCGTTGTCGTTGATTTTTTCTTTTTTGTTCGCTTGTTTCGATTTTTCGTGTGTTTTATGTTGTTCGCTTTCATGTCCGCATTCACCTGCAGCTGATAAGGGGATACGCGGACAAGTTATGTAGGCGGGTCGCGCTTTCTGAACATCAATTTCTCCGAAGCCGACGGGTCATGCGGGGCATGGGCTAGCGACTATGCCGCATTGCACAGTCCAATAATGGGACGCGCCTTCGAAGCGTGTTTAGCACGGCAATGGCCGGGGACGGCACCGTCTCGGCACGACCCGTCCATTCGCTTCCTCCCATTCGAGTGGCTGGACGGCTGTGGCGGCTTCGCGGACGTTCTCACGGGGCTGTTGACCGCCTTTGTGGTGGCTATACTGGACAACCGCGCGCTTATAGTCCGCAACCGCTGCCTCTCCAATGCCTTCGAACCGAACATGATCAACTGGACACCCGGCCCGTTCGTGCCCTTGGAACCTGCGCGGAGCTCACGTTGCTGGATTATAGCGTCCTCCCAGGGAGGACGGTCCCGGCAAAGCGCGCGCGCGACGGGGAGGTGGTGCTGGTGTGGCTGCGGAATAAGTTCGTTAGGATCGAGCCATTTTTTAAGGAGCTTGAAGGAGCGGTGAACATTCGCATGACGAGCTACCGCAGAGAGGCTGCAGACGAAGGACAAGGGGGAGTGGGCGGAGAGGTTCAAGGAGATGGGCATGCAACAACCGTACGTGCTCGGGTGCTTGCTCCGGTTCCTCATGCGGTAAGGGGGAGAGGGGGAGAGGGGGGACGGCGAGGGGGGAAGATGGAGGAGAAAGGGGAGGTGGGTGGGAAGGGGGAATGAGATAAGTTCCCTTTCTTCCCTCTCCCACTTTCCCACCCACTTTATTTTGCATTCTGTTCTCACTCTTCCTAGTTTTCCCCCTTCCCCTTTCACCCCTCATCCCTCCCCCGTCATCCCGTACCCTCTCCAACTCCTTCTCCCTCTTCCACCCTCCCACCACCTCCCTGCACGCACTCTCCGCAGGCCCAAGCCACAGGTGCAAGCGCTCTACCACAGCATCGAGCAGCGCCTGCGGAGGCCGTGGGCAGGAAGGGGAGGGGCAGGGAGGCCCGTGGCAACGGTGGGGATTCACATCCGCGTGGGTGTCGATGTGGTGTGGCCGGGCGACAGCGGCAAGCCCAAGGAGCTCACTGCGAAGCAGGTGGACTGGCTTGTTGCTCGCGCCAGGATATGGATTCATTGCGCTCGGGTAAGTGAAGAGGGGGGAAGGCCGGGGAAGTGGGAGTGGGGAGGTTCGGAAGGGTAGGGTTGTGAGTTTCGGTTTTGGAGTGGGTCGTCTGACGTGATCGATGTGCGGATTGGTTATCCTGTTTACCTACATGTAACCCAGCTAACGTGATAATTCTAGATAGCACATACATTCAGACGGGACTACTGATCGTCGATTTGTGGTGATCAATCGCGACAACATAAATGCCGACAAACCGAGCAACAGTGGCGATATCCACGTGCTTGCAAAGTGACATGGTTTCGCTAAGCGGGTGAACGCACAATTTCATACATTTCAGAGGGCTATCGATTCCCTAGCCTGGTTGCCCAGTGAGTTTCGCATTTCTCATTCGTGTTTGTATTTTTTAATACCGTTACAACGACGGGTGTGCATTGTTTCACCAATCGATCCTCTCACGCGATTGTGAGAATCGATATAGAATCATGATCCTCCGATATAGACACTTTTACTGCGTCCTTAGGTGAAAGGTCGGTTTCTGTGTGTGTGTGTGTGTGTGTGTGTGTGTGTGTGTGTGTGTGTGTGTGTGTGTGTGTGTGTGTGTGTGGGTGTGTGTGGGTGTGTGTAGGTGTGGATATGTGTGTGTGTTTGTCTGTGTGTGTCTGTGTGTGTGTGTGTGTGTGGGTGTGTGTGTGTGTGTTTGTTTGTGTGTGTATGTGTCTCTGTGTGCGTGTATGTGTGTGTTTGCATTTGTCTATTTTGTTACTAAACCTACCAACCTATAGCACGACTCTTTTGACTACCCAGACGTCCTTGGTACGCATCCTCTCACTACGTTGTTCACCCATTCCTTCATTCCCCGAATCCATTCCCGAACCCCTCATGCCCCGACCCCGAGCGTGTGGAACCCCAACCACAAGAGCACTGACTCCCAACGTCCTAACAACCCTCACTTTTCTTCACCTCTCCCAACATCCTTCTTTCCAACCGTCCTGAGATCTTCCTCGCCCTGTTTCCCGGATCCACCAGTGTGTGGAGGCGTACTGGTTCCCGTCGTTCGTTGCGGTGCACTGGATGCTCGTCACCAACTCAGCAAAGCTCAAAGCTGCCATCAAATCCAGGTTTCCCTCCAAGGTGTGTGCGTGCGAGAAGGTGGGTGGTTTCATGTGTGCGCGCGCGCGGCTGGGGGGTAGAGATGGATGCAGTTGGCATGGGGGGAGGATGGGGGGAGAAGGCGAGATTGGAGGGGGGAATGGGGGGAGAAACTTACGAGGTCATGGTCAGGACGAATTGTGCCTTTCTCTCTGAACACCTGATGCTTGAGCAATGCTATTCCTTTCTTTCTTGAGTTGTTTTTCTCCTCTCTATTTTCGCTCTTCTGCCCCTGCCAGGTCATCACCACCGACTTAATACCACGGCATTCAAATAGTCTGACCTCTGGCTCTGCTGGCAGCATTGGCCGTGGCTCCTCCCCTCTACGCCTACGAAAGCTTGCAAGGCAGCGGCAGGAAGAGCAGGATAGATTGTTCCAAGAGCTGGTAACAGAGTGGTTCCTTCTGGCCTCTTGCGATGCGTATGCTATTTCCCTATCTGGGTATTCAAGCACAGTCGTGTATTATCCTAATAGACCCATGGTTGCTTACTTGAGAGGAAGTTGTGACCCTAAGATGCCTTTGCGAGCTACATTTATTCAAGGCCAGGCTCGGGGTAGAATATAGAAACGGTCCTTTCAAAATGTGGGTTAAGTGTAAGTGTGTTCTTTATTATGTACTGGACCTTTTTGTACTTGGATGGAGATGAAATTATAACACTTGCTTGTGCACTTGGAACTGCTGTTGTGTGAGAAGCGGCTACTGTACGCGCGGCTGCAGTTGTGCGTGCGGGCTGCAGGGGCGCGCGCGGCTGCTGTTGCGCGTGCGGCTGCTCCTGCTGTGTGCATAGCTGTGGCTGCATGCGCATCTGCCTGCGGCGGCTGGTGCGTGGGCAATAGGGCCTGCGCAGCAGCGTGCGTGCGTGCGCGTGCGTGCGGCAGCGCCTGCGCGGTTGCGGGCGCGCGTGCGTGCATGCGCTAGCGTGTGCACGGCTGCGCTCTGCTGGCTATGTGCAGTACGGGGCGGTCTGCAGGGCGGGACGGGACGGGCTACCGGGTGGGGCGTGGTGCGCACGGGCCAGGGCAGTGTGCGGCCTGCAAAGGGGCGGAACGAGGCCTTACGGGGCGGGATGGGGTGCGCTTGGGATGGGACAGGGGCGCAGCCGGCTAAGGGGCGGGGCGCGACCTACTAAGGGGCGGGGCGGGCTAGGCTAGGCTCGGGTCCCAAGCCCCGTTCGTAACCCTCTTCGCTGGTTTCTAGTCTAGCCCTCTGGCCACGTCTCGTTTTTCGTTTTGGCTACTCCTTGCCTAGCCACTCTGGCTTCGTTTGTTACTCGCTCCGGCCATTCCTAGACCCATTTCGTTCGTTTCTTCTGGCACCATATGCTCTTCGTTCGTTTCTAGCTCCGGCCGTTCCTAGTAATGCGTTACTAGATTGATAGCCGTCTTGTTATGACGTTCACTCAAGTCCTGCGTTTTAATCCAGAGGGTTGAGCACTAGACTTCCATTCCTAGCTCCTCCACGCCATACGATTCCTCCAGACCCAGCGCCAGGATAATGATACCTTGCCTGAGCATCTGCCCCCTGATGCCCAAAGCCAAGTGCGGCTCCTGACACGCTTCACTTCGCGTCTGGCGTACCTTGGTCTTTTCTACATGTAGCCACTCCACCTCAAATGTTAACGCCTGCATGCCAGTCTTCATTTCCGCTACTTGCCGCATCAACGCATCGAATGTGGATAGTGGGGAAGCTATGTCTAGTGGGCAACGCGCAATAGCTGTCGGAGATAGATTTACCGTACTAAGCTTCGCAACCATCCGCTTTGCCACCCGACGTGCAAACCACACCCGTGCCACTAAAATACCCCCGGAATGTGAGGTGAACTAGGAAGAAATCTATGTTCTCAAGTGTTATGAGTTGTTCAAGAGAGTTGCTCCGAATAATGAGCAAAGAAGTGTTGAATTAATCTATAACTACTTGCTGTAAAGTGTAGTGTAGCTACACCTCTTGCCTTGCCTTGCATTTCTCACTTCACTCTCCTGGTGCCAATCTCTAATTCTCCTTCCCAAGTTGCTAAACCTAACTTCCTCCTGACTTGTTTCACGACACAAAGCTGTGGCAATTTGGGCTGACGATACAATGAATGACCCGAGATAATAAAGCAGGCTAGCCTAACCATGCGGGAACCTCGGGGACGCGAGGATGGATGCAGGTTAGGCAAGAAAATGTCAAAGGTGAACACATGGAGCCTTGGTGTGATGAAATCGGTCGAACGTGTATTTCTGAGCAGTAGGGTTGTACGCGAAGGAGTAAGCCCCCGTTATGAAAGGGAAAATTCCTCCAACTGTATCTTCCATTCTATGATCTCAATAACAAACAATTTGTTTTTGCTTAGTAGCAATTTGAACGGACTATCATAATGATAGCGCGGTAACTATAACCGACACTAGAAACAAGTGTGCAAAAGTTTTAAGATTGCATTCCTACGCACAGACTCCATTCGAATTCTGGACATGTTGAGCCTTTTTAATGATGTACGCCTACTCTTTTGAAGTTTTCTTGGCCTAGACAACCATGCTACGGAATCTATGCTAAGAAAACTCAACAGATTTAGTAGACTAGGGGTAATGGGAGCAGGATGCGAGAAAGAGGGGTTTGCATTAGTAAGAGAAGCAAGAAATACAAGGCAAGGAAAGGCAAGAGGTGAACCACTAGCTATAGTGCTACACTACACACACTAAATAGTACAAAAGGCATATAATATATATTGCATTATATATAATGTACTATCACAATACAATTTTCAAAAACAACCCCTAAACTGCTTGCAGCAAAAACCAAGTGCGTGAAACACCCCTGAAGGAGTTTACCATCATGAGTATGCAGCGGAAGATGAAGCGAAAGGCATGTGCATTAGAGGCAGATGCACCAGCAGCAGATGCTCAGCAACGGTAGATGTAGTAGTGGCAGGTGCGACGGCGGCATGTGCTGCAACGGTAGGTGCGGCGACAGCAACTGGCAGCGGTGCGGCAAAAGCTCGCGGCAGTAGATGCGGGCGCCTGCAGAAGTGGCAAATGCTCACTAGCGGCAGGTGTGGCAGCAGTAGGTGTAACGGCAGGTGCAGTTGTACGGCGGTGACATAAAGGAGGAAGAGGTAGAAGAGCGGAGCAGAAGGGAGGGAGAGGAGAGAGGAGGAGGAGGTGGGCGGCTGCAGGTGCTGCATGTTTACCCCCGCGACCACCTCAGCCTCCCCCCCACAGCGGCAGTCGCGGCTAAGGTGCATGGCGTTTGTTACGATATGAAGTTTTATCAGAAGGCATTCATGTATGCTGCAGGAGCCGACTCTACCGAGTACGAAGTCGAGGAGTCAGAAGAGTCGAAGCGACGCAGCAACCGTCTAACCAAGACCGATGCAGGCAGAAACATTTGAAGTGAAAAGAGTGGGAACAGGTTTGAAACGGGTTCCCGCGCTGCACGGTTTGAATTTCGCTGTAATAAGGGAATGTACCCCTTAGAGTACATGGCTAGTCTAGGTCTTTTCGTATTCCCCTGTATTCTTATATAAACTCGATGTATGCATGCTATTATCAACTTAGTTATTTACATTCACTCTGACCTGAGATTCAAACTTCCGCTGCAACACGACTCTGCGGTCAACCCAGAGCAATCCTTTGCTAAGTCCCACTTGGGATTGTAACATGGTACCGTATGAGAGTGTCAAGATATGTTGCTAGGGTTTAGCCTTAGGAGCCATGCTAGGAGGTAGAGTGTGAGGGAGTTGGCAATGAAAGAGGACTTCACTATAGAGCTAAGGGTACAAATATGATAGGAAAGGGGGTAATCCACCAAACAGAATGTGATAACTACACTACTGCTATATCTACATGCAGTTACAATAATATAACTCTGACAGAGAGCTACTCATGGATTATTCGCATCTTCGCTTCCGTGAAATTCGCCGAACCAAGATCTTGCGAGTGGCACACGCTCCAAGACCAAGATGGCCGGAGGATCCGGAGGCCAAGCAAATCTGACGGCTGAAGGACAAACCAACCCGGCTGCGACAAATGAGGCAACAACCACGATCCGCACTGCCGCACTCGAGCAGTTATTCGCTCGACTTTCAACTATGGAGAAAGAACTCCAAAATCTGCGCAAAGGCGATGTGAGAACCTCTTCCCAACCAGCTCATCCTGGACTACTAACTACGAAAAGCCGTGATACCGCACACCTTCTCCCCCGACACAGACAAATCAACAACAACTGCCCCCCGTCCAAGTGATGAAGTCATTAACTCTGCGCAAGCACGCTTTCTCAGCGTTTAAAAAATCAAGACTACTGCCGCATTTGACGGCAAAGATTTCTACACATGGAGTTTCAAGCTTGAGCTCCTCCTACAGACAGCGCAGATTTACCATTACTTCGACGACTCCTATTCTAAACCGGTGGACGACACCGACGACGCCAGGGCTCAGTACTACAGCGAGTCCCTCATGGCGTACAGTGTGCTGCTATGAAATATGATGCCTGCGGAACAACTTAGCATTCGCTCCTACAAAGAGAGCGCCGCTCCACCCTTGGAAGCCTGGAAGCACCTCATTGATGTCTATCAGCCGAAGGATTCGGTTACCGCCAGCAGGCTCCTGCAGCAACTTATGGAGACAAAGATGGGGCACGGGGAGAAAGCGAACTCTTATATTAACCGCTGTCGCTACATCCGTGACCAGATCACGAAGCATGGGAGCGCAATCTCAGAAAAGATCTTCGTAAACATAGTCCTTCAAGGACTCGGGCCAGAGTGGAAGCCCTTTAAAGCGCTACTCCGACAGCGAGGGATTATCTCAGTAGCCGCGCTATGCACCGCACTCCTGATTGAACAGCTGGACATGGACTCGAGCAGAACAAGCTCCGCGCCGCGCCGAGAGCGACTTGCCTTCTACACAGACAACCATGAAGAGCGACGACAACCAAGGAGCCACTATTGCAAAATTTGCAAAGTCTTTGGACATTCAACGGATCGATGCAAATCCCGATCCAACTATCGCCACCCAAATTCCACTCACCACAACAACTGGGTCGGCCGACAAGACATACGTCATCCTCAGTCTCAACATCAGACATGTCGTCCTCCTGCACAACATCAACATCAGCAAGGACCTCAATCAGGAGTGTCAGAATAATATATAAATCTATATATTGTTTTGTAACTGCCTGTAGTGTAGACTACTGTAGTTATACAATATTCTGTTTGGTGGTGCACCTTTCTTCTTGCCTATATGTACTGCTCGCTCTATAGTGAAATCCCTCTCTTCTCTTTTCAACTTTCTCGACTCTCCTAACTCAACTACTCGAACTCAACCAAGGCTCCTAAGTTATGGCTCCTAAGCCTAACTCTTACTAGTACTTTTCTCAAGGAGCTCCTAGAAACATCATCGCGAACATGGCGACGCGCCGACGTCGCACTGCTGAACCTGACAAAGAAAACGAGATCCAAGGAAGACTCCTTGAACCAGAAGAGGGTTGGAATAATCCCCTCACTGAAGATCACTACTACCTGTACGACGAGGACGAGCAGGATTGGAATCAGCCAATCACATTGTGGGAAATCCCGCCATATGACAACCAACAATACGTACCGGTGGGATGGAAGGAAGACGAAGACCCCTTCTTCCACAAGCGCTACAAGGCAACCCTGGTAACTCCGCGACTGGCGCTACTTCTGCGCAGAAACAACACCGACAACCATAACACCCGGTACCTCGACGGCTGCTGCGGACAGCACATGGTGGGATCCACGCGATACGTATCGAACCTGAGTCGGGCCCCCGCAACTTACGTCACCGTCGCCAACAACGAGCAGCTGCGCTCTAATGCGCAAGGCATCGTGGTCCTGCAAGCACGAGACAGCAATACACACATCTCGTTCAACGACGTACTTTACGTCCCAAACCTTCGTTTTAATCTCCTCTCAACAGGACAACTCCGAGATTGCAGCGTCATCCTCACCACGGACCTAGCCACACGCGACCTCATCCTCACCTACGCTCCCCCTGACACGCCTCCCGAATCATTCAAATACCTTGGATGAGCCCTGTGAGAGTACGACGACTTATGCTGGCTTTGCTAGCTTGCCTGGAATTTATTATGCTATATCTAACTTGGGTTTATTC